TTACCCACCATGTAAAAATGTGTGACTTGTCCTTTCGTATTGCTTATCTATTGGAATGCAGATGTTTTTATGGACGTTTTGGTTAAATCTTAAATACCATAGGTTATTTCAAAATGTGCAGTGTTAACTGTAAAGTATTTTAAGTAATTATTACAATTTTCATCCACAGATTTGTGAGTGAGACTGATTTTTAAACTTTTTATTTCCAGATATTTCTCAAACCAGAGCTGCTGGCCCTGCACAACCGATCTTGAATGCATTCCCTCGCACTCAGCACGGAAAGGGTAGGACGAGAGCCTTCAATGCGTGCTGGTACAAAGAGTACACTTGGCTTGAGTACTCTCAATGCCAGGATACTGCACATTGTTTTGTGTGCCGGCATTTTTCGCTACCCACTGCTCCTGAGACAACATTCTCCTCAGGTACTGGTTTTTCAAACTGGAAAAAGGCAATGTATAAAGATGGAGGATTCCAGATGCATGCCAAGGCAGAGCACCATGTAAATGCCATGGTGGCATGGACAGAGTATAAGAGGGGTGTTGAAAACAATACGTCTTTGCTCCAAGCAATGGATAAACAATACCAAAAAAAGGTGGAAGAAAATAGAAAGTATATCAAGACCATTGCTGATGTCCTACTGTGTACGGCAACACAAAACATTGCGCAGCGGGGCCACTGTGAGTCAGAAAACTCTAGCAACAAAGGTAACTTCTTGGCCATTATGGAACTGATTGCAAAGCATGACCCTTTAGTAAAGCGAAAAATGGAACATAGCAATGCCAAAAATACAAGTCACATGATTCAAAATGAGATTTTGGAGGTGCTAGCTGAGATGGTCAGGAAGGAGATTATTGAAGAGGTAAAGCAAAGTGGGGCTTTCAGCATCCTAGCTGATGAGACAAAAGACTTACAAAAACAAGAACAAATTTCCTTAGTTGTCAGGTATTATTACAAAGGAACAGTACATGAAAGTTTTATGCATTTTGAACATGCTGATAAGCTTGATGCTGCAGGGCTAACAGAAAAAATTGTCAATAGCCTCCAAAAATATGGATTGGAATACAGAGAGCAGTTGGTTGGGCAAGGTTATGATGGGGCCTCAGTGATGAGCGGTAGACACAATGGTGTGTCTGCAAGGATACAGTCGCTGGCTAGGCACGCGTTTTATGTGCACTGCAATGCACATTGCCTTAATTTGGTAATTGTGGACACAGTGAAAGCAGTTCCAGAGGCGTCATGCTTTTTTTCTTTGTTGCAGCGCCTCTATACATTTCTATCTGGATCGTATGTACATCAAAAGTGGCATGACATACAGCGTGCAATGTTTCAGGATAAGCCTCGAGAATTGCCCAAACTAAGCGATGTTCGGTGGGCTTGCAGGTTTTATGCCTGTCGAAACCTTATGGATCGGCTGCCAGCTGTTCTTCGTGTCCTCCATGACATTGAAGAGGAGAACAACGGAGACAGATGTGTGGAAGCACGTGGACTTCTTGGACAGATAGATCTAAACTTTATTGCCCTTTTGGCTACTTTTAGAAGGATACTGGGAGACACAAAGTTTTTGTCTGATATGCTGCAATCCTCGACGTTGGACTTAGCCAGGGCAGTTGACCTGATTGAGGCACTACGAGAAACATTTGTGCACTACAGAGATGAAGCATTTTTTAGGGAACTGTGGACACAAGTTCTGGACATTGCTCATCAGTGCAACATTAGTACAGACAAGGTTTCCAAAAGGCAGCCAAAGACTAGCTCTGCTCTTCATGGATCTGTTGTCACATCCACAACTGGTCAGCGAAACCGTGATGAAGAACATTTTTGTACCACTGTTTTCTATCCCATCTTGGACAATGTGAAGGCTGAGCTAGAGAGACGTTTTTCTAAAACCAATTGTGATATCATGAAAGGAATTCAAGCACTCAATCCTAAAAGCAACAACTTTTTGGAAGAGACTCCTCTGTTTTTGTTGGGAACCATTTACAAAACAAACCTGGATGATCTTAAGCACGAGCTACATCAAGCCAAGCGGATCTTGGAGAGGAAGAGGGCAGCTGGAATGAAAAATTTAAGTAGTTTGCTTGAGTTCACAGTATTCTTGGAGCCATTCAGGGATGTATTCTATGAACTGTTCAGACTGTGCAAAATTGCCATGGCTCTACCTGTAAGCACAGCTTCTTGTGAACGCAGCTTTTCTGCATTGAAACTGATTAAAAATCACTTACGCACCACCATGAACAATGAAAGACTAAGTGACCTTGGGGTGCTAAGTGTGGAGTCCCCGAGAGCCAAGGCCTTGGATATGGATGAATTTATTAGGTTGTTCAGTGGTCGACACAGAAATCGGAAAATACAGTTGTACTGATGAGTACTTTCTACTGCGACAATGTATCAATTTAGCTTAATATACTTAAGACTGAGTATTGGTTATCCTTTTTTTTATCCTTATGTAAAAAAGTGAAGAATATTGCAAGAAGTGAAAAATAATAGTGATGAGGGTTGTTCATGCACAATAAATTGCATCTGCTTAATCTGGCCTGGCTCATGTTTGCTGAGTTTTCTAATAGCACATACTAGCTGAATGTTGATGAAAACATGGGGACTTTAAAATTTTAATGTTGAAATTGCAAAATAAAAAGGCCATTAATATGAAAACGTTAATGTAGCCAATGAAAACATAAAAACGCTTTAAATATGAAATGTAATTGTTTACACTTCGTTTTCTAACTGTGGGGAGAGAGTGGTTGGTGGCAGCCTTCAATTCTGTTGGCACTTTTAGGTGGCCCCCCTGATTTCATCGTTGTCCCCCCTGTGCCCCCCACATGAAAATGATCTGGATCCGCCCCTGTTAAGCTCCTGTATTGTCATGACTGGGTTGAGCTTTTTATATGATAGCCTTTCCTTTGCCACAGTGTACGCTGTTCTGAACGAGGCTGTGGTTTTCTTGAGTAAATCGGACTGTATATCAATGAAAGTGTTGAGGAGGGTGTCTTTCTTTTTCATCTGGGCTATTTCCACTCACCTTGTGTGGGCCTGGCTGTCCCTTTGTATGTAAATCTTTTTTCATAGCCTCTTTGCTTCAGAGCTAATAACATTCTTCTGCGAGGTGTAAACCAAGTCCCTTTTCTAAGAGTAGCAGCGTTTTTGCTTTTCTACACACTAAACTCCCCAATTTTCCTGCCTTAATGTCAAGCCAAGGGTTGCGGTCTTTCCATTCACCCACCTGCTTCGTTGTCCAACCAGCCGAGAAGTCACCTGTGCTAGCAGCCGTAGCAGCTAACGTTACCTCTGCCCCAGCTGCGTCTTCGGAGCACTCGGCCTCAACTTCAAGTTGTTCTTCTGGGGAGTCACTGGGTGGGATAGGATCCTCCGTTTTGGTGACGAGTAGACCCATCTCTTCTTCTCTGAGTGCCACCTTTCTGGATGTGAACCCAAAGTGTGCGAGTAATACGCTCTGATTTGGCTTTCGCTTGCTAGCCATTTTTACTAAAAATTGTTGTCAACGTTATGTCTTTCTTCTGTTTGGCGCGCACATGGATAATTAGCATAGCTGAACAGGATTTGCTGGCTCCACTTGGCAAAAAACAGAACATACTTGTGAATAAATGTTTTGAGTTTTAAATACTGGACATGTTGAGCTTAAAAGCATTTTAGTGACCATTAGTTACGGGTCTCATGGGTTAATAGGGGGGGTCGAGCCCCCCGGACCAGGCTCTACTCTGAGTCCTCCCCGGATGACTAAGCTCCTCACCCTATCTCTGATGAGAGCCCAGACACACTATGGAGAAAACTAATTTCACCCGCTTGTATTTGGGATCTCGTTCTTTCGGTCATGACCCAAAGCTCATGACCATAGATGAGGGTAGGAACATAGATCGACGGGTAAATCGAGAGCTTTGCTTCCTGGCTCAGCTCTCTGTTCACCACAGCAGACCGGTACAGAGCCCGCTTCACAGCAGACGCAGCACCAATCCGCCTATCGATCTCCTGCTCCATCTTCCCATTCATCCCATTCCCTTCTTCATTCATGAACAAGACCCCAAGATACTAAAACTCCTCCGCTAGGGGCAGCACAGGTATGATTATTCGGTAAAAGTGAGTATTAAACCAAGCTGAAAATTTCTAGTGAAATATGCAAATAACAAAACCATGCGACAGAATTACGCAGTGCCATGCCTTTTTTTTTTGTTGATAAAATGGAAGATAGAGAAAATAATGTTGTAAAAGGAGGAAGTGGGGAATGCTCGTAGGTTGCTTTTAAAAAAGCAGTTTTAGGAGGACTGTTTCTTCATCATACCTCTAGCACAGACACTGGCCTGCTGATGCCTCCTCTACCCCGTTCCACCTTTCTGTCTGCCGGGTAGGCTGTGCTTATCCTCCGCTGTACTCCTTCCACCTCCAGCAGTTAGAACTATCACACGAGCAAGACCCGGCCTTCTCTCCCCCCTTTGGTGTGCTGTTCGCTGGATGGGTTCCTCCGATCTCGTGGTGTGGTTCCTTAGCTGTGGGGGCACTGCTGGCAATCTCATCCTGGTTTTGGCGCTCTTTCTGATGGTGCTCTCACACTTATTTCTTGCCAATCCTGTCTGAGCTACAGAACTTAACCTAAGAATCAGGTAAACCCAGAACTGCGAATTTTGTTTGGCTTTCAAAAGTAAAAAAAACACACATAAAAACTTAGTCGCTTTGTAAAATCCCTGCCCTCCATGTTTTCTGTGAAATTGTATCTGGCACTTCCCTGTCAAGTCAGCATCTGAATCTCTCCTTTTAAGGGCAAGATTCACACCCCCTGCCCATTATTATGTTCATTACCCCTCAATTCAAATTGAAATTGGGACAGCACTACTGCAAAGTTTTGAGGTAGGGCTGAAAACTAGGGATAGGAGGTGTATCTGGATTGGGCCTAAGTTATGTTTAACACTCAAAATCTGTGTTTTTTGCTCAAACTTTGTGATGGAATCTAGAAGGTTTTTCCTTCTACGGCTGCATACCTTGTTATCCAGTAGGTAGCACCTGTGCTTTGGTGACTGGGGACTGACAGCTGTTTCCCATTGGGGAGGCCCCAAATGAGTCTGCTGCCAGCACTTCCTTGCCATAATGTTGATGAATGTGGTATGTTCTTACCTGCCTGGTCTCTAGTGCTTCCTCTGAGTCCCTCTCATGGTCCGGTGTTTATGTCTTTCTAGGTTTCCTCCATGCTTTCCGAATCAGTTGTTCAGAAAATTCCATCTAGAAGTCTTAATTTTCTCCAACCTCCCGCGATCCCACACTGGCAGCTACCTCAACAGGTTCTCCTTGCAAGCTTCTTCCAATCGAACTCTGCTCTCCCTCCAAGCCACCCAGGCACCCTGGATTCAGATGCTCCTTCAACAACAGGTTCAACTGTGATGCCACCTTCCACAATCCCTCTCAGACTCCACTCATTTCTCCCTGATAGTAAATAATCAACCTCTCTGTAAGCCGACTTCGATCTTCACTACTTAGCTATCCATTCGAAACCTAACTTCTCAATACTTTTCAGCTGGTCGAAAACCTGTTACTGAGGTTCCAGTATTTAGTTAAACTAATAAACCTTTTTTATCTGCTTCAGTCTCCTGAGTGTGTTCTGCATGTGGGCCAAAACTATTGATTAAACTATGTCAACTCGTAGAGCTTGATGTGTGATTTTAGAGAAACCACTGGAGTTATGAATATACAGTCGCCAGTTTTAAGCTGATGAAGGAGTTGTCTACAAAAACAGTAAAGCTGTGTTTTTGGGGAACATTGAACTGAAATGACTCAAAAATAGAGAGTTTAAGTCTTCTTTCTCCCCTCTCACCAATTGTTGCCATGGTACCTTTGGACATGGCTTTCAGGAATTAAACATTACAAACTTTTGTCCACAGAATAGTTACAGGTGCCTCCATACATGGACTTTATCATATGTCACTCTCAGCGCAGGAATTAACTATAGATGGGAGATTTTATTTTATTTTTATTTTTTTTATCAATGTCATGTAAAATTAAGAACGTAAGTGACAGCACACCTTGTGTCATCAATTGTTTTGAGGCAAAAGCAGCAGATGAGATGTTTCAGTTGTATCAGCCTGGCTGCCCAGGCTACAATTTAATCAGAGTGTTAGTCTTAAAATTTCCTTTGAATGTGGATGAGAAGAACACATGGGAAGGAGTGACACAGCATGTGTGTCTATTTTATGTTTCAGGTATGTATCTTCAATGGTTGATGAGATACCAATAATTGTGCTCTACTGCTGTCAGGTTGTGTGGAGTCTTGTAGAGGACCCACATGCAGAGACTGTGTTTCAGCGTACTTCAGTGTGCCCATAACTTATACAAAACGGACCCATAACTTATCCAATGTATGCTAGCATTTTTGTACATCAGGTATATGCTGTCTACATCATTAAGGTGTGACATGGGCTTTTTTTATGACTAGAAAATAAATTGGATGAAACTAAATAGAAATAACACTAATGACCTTGGAAAGACAATGCCATAAACCAAAGCGCAACTGGAAACACAAAGTAAAATATGGAACAGAAACAAAAGTCCTATTTAGGAGATTATGACAAATGCATTAAACATGATCATCTTATTCTGTGGGTGAGTCTACATGAAACTTTGAAATTCCTTCCACATAATACAAAGTGGGTAATGGCCTCTCCTACTTTCAGTTTAATTTCCACAGAACAATTACTGCTTTAATTATACTAGTAAATTGGAAAACATATTTGTCTTTAGTTTAGGGTGTAACCAAGGAACTCTTCAATGTATTAAGGCCACTAGCACTCAACTAAACCCATAGCAAATGGAAGAAAAACAAGCATTTAAGATACTGGATGTTAGTCAATGAGGAATATCTGGCAAGATCAATTTCAAAATATTACAACAGCAACCTAAACGCAGTTAGATGTGATCTATGACTAGAGCGTTCTAACATCAAATGCTTTGCTCTAATCTAGTAATTCTATCTCTCTATCAAGATTACAGAAAGATTAAAAGAAGGACTTTATGGCTGCAATCCTGCCTTTTTCCAACTAAATTCAAACTTTAAAGCTAGAGCAGCCAGAGAGAACTGATTTAATTATTAATTTATTATACCAATATATTTAGTCATAATGGCACAGAGTACTAGCCTCTTTTACTTTGGCTAGCTGTGCTTCAATGTTATGTAATGTCTTTTATAATCCACTGCATGTACGCAACTCAAAACTGATATATATGCAGATCATAAGTCAGAATATGAACCTAACTTAGTAGCAAATGCACAGAATCTGAGCTACAACAAATTTCAGCCTTCTGCAAGTTGATTTAAAATGTAAAATAACGTGTATTTATCTGCCGCATGAGATAAAGTTTAAAGAAATGTTTTTCTTCTTCAAGTAATAACCATACTTAAAAAGAACAATGCAGTATCTGTATTTTAATCTTCAATAGTTGTGTGGAGCAATTGATGTTTAATTTAAACAGCAACGTACATTCTTCATCCAAATAAGTCAGAATTGTGTTCAAGAAACAAACCACATCAGCTGTTTGGTGAACGTTTGATGAAACTGAAATTTCTAAAAATTTGAGAGTTTTAGGTCTTGTTAATGGCCTCGCTAGATACTCGCACTAGCTATCCAAACAGCTAAACAATCTTGAACATGAAGAAACTCCGGACAGCGATGACTGGTTAATGAAGTTTACTTCAGTGCTAGTTCCTTTTTGTGAAACTGTAACATACAGAAAATGCAATGTATTACAATCTAGGCTTTACAGAATGATATAAATAAAATAAAGGACCAACATGACATTGACTTTCAATGAAATGAGGATGTTAGCTAGCGATTAGCAACAAAAAGCTTTACAGAATGATATAAATAAAATAAAGGACCAACATGGCATTGTCTTTCAATGAAATGAGGATGTTACAGTAGCTAGCGATTAGCAACAAAAGCTTTACAGAATGATATCAATAAAATAAAGGACCAACATGGCATTGACTTTCAATGAAATGAGGATGTTAGCTAGCAATTAGCAACAAAAATTAGCTTACAAAAAACGGACTCATTAGCATAATAATAACTGGCTATAAACATACAACTTTACACAATACCAACATATCATGTGACATTACAGGTGTCTCAGTGTTTTTTTACCAAGTAATACTCACAGACAATGCTTTAACAAACACCAAGAAAGAACCAGAAAGAGTGTGGAGCTGCCGTTTGATTCTGGGTATCGGCACTTCCTGTCCATATTCTTCTTCTACTATTAACTTAAACAATAACTTAAAGTGATCACCTGGTGGCGTATTTCAACTAATAGTAACACCAACAATATTATACACAATAAACATAACACTCCCCGCCTGGGATAATACTATCCCACATTCAAATTAACGGTCTCCAAATTGCTCGGGGGACAAAAGCAGCACCACTTCGGTTACAGGGCGCGAAAAAGTCTTCTTAGTTCCGGCATGAGAAGTAGTTACTTCAACTTTCCTGACAAGTCCGTCCTTCCCTGGGATGGTCTTGGAGACAATAGACATGGGCCACTCGTTCCTTTTGGCCTGAGAGTCCTTGAGCAGAACGATGTCTCCTTCCTTGAGGCTTTGCTTCTTATCCTGCCATTTGTGGCGCAGCTGCAGAGTGTGAAGATACTCACGTCTCCATTTTGACCAAAAGATGTCAGCAAGACTTTGAACCCTTTTCCATTGTTCCTTCAGAAGTATCCCGTTTTCAAAGTTTCCAGGAGGTGGTGGCGCACATCCTGTTTTCATGGTGAGCAGCATCGACGGCGTGAGGATAAGAGGTGACTCAGGATCGGTAGACACGGGAACAAGAGGACGAGCATTCATGATGGCGCAGACTTCGGCCATAAACGTAGACAACAGTTCGTGGGTCAACATTGCTTTTTTACAATCTTGGAACATAGAGTTGAGGATGCGTCTGGCAATCCCGATCATTCGCTCCCAAGCACCACCCATATGTGATGCGTGCGGAGGATTGAAGATCCATGAGCAGTCTTGTTTGTTCAGGTAGTCTTCGACATCCTTGATGGAAAGATCCGTCTCAACCATTTTCAGTTCGTGAGAGGCGCCGATTAAATTTGTGCCGCAATCAGACCTGATTTGTTTTGCCGGGCCTCTGATTGCAAAGAGCCGCCTCAGAGCGTTTATGAAACTGTCCGTGGTCATTGTTTCGATTAACTCGATATGTACTGCTCTCGTAGACATGCAGGAAAACATGACGGCCCACCTTTTGGAATTGGCTTGGCCTCCTCTTGTGCGACGGGTGAAAACGTCCCACGGTCCAAACACATCCACACCCACGTATGTGAATGGGGGTGCAACCTTCATCCGTTCAGGAGGTAAGTTTCCCATCTGTTGACATTCAGCTCTTCCTCGTAACTTCCTGCATGTGACACACTTGAAAAGAGCAGTGCTAATGCTTCGTTTGGCTCCCACTAGCCAGAATCCTGCAGCTCTTATCGCGCCTTCGGTGAAATGCCTCCCCTGATGTTTCACAGATCCATGGTAGTGGCGTATCAGGAGGGTGCCCAAGTGGTGTCTGGCTGGAATGATGAGAGGGTGAGTGGTGTCGATACCCAGCTCAGAATGTGTGATTCGGCCCCCAACTCTTAAGAGTCCATCATTGTCCAATATGGGGTGCAGCTTCCAAAGACTGCTTGAGGGGGGAATCTTTGTCTCTTCTGATATGCATTTTAGCTCTTCTTTGTAGTACTCACTTTGAACACTCTTTATGACACAAATCTTCGCCTTTGCCATCTCTTCTTTTGTAGGTCGACAAAGGTGCCAGCCGTGGCAGCTGGATGCTTGGTTGGAGTGATTGAATGAGCGAACGACATGAACCAACTGGGCTATTGTTCTGATTAGAGCGCTGTAGTTTGAGAACTTTTCAAAACATGTTGGAGCGATTGCTGGTTTTGTGACGTGAGTCAGGTTTGTTGTCACAAAGGGGCGTACTTCTATGTCAGCAGCGGGATCAACAAGGTTGTAGTTTTCAAATGGAGGTACCTGTAGTGAAGGCTTGAGGAGGAAGGCCGGTCCTTCCAACCATGTTGTGCTGCTCAGTTGGGCTGCTGTCACAGAACGAGACCCGTAGTCTGCTGGGTTGAGCTCAGATGGAACGTATTTCCATTGGTGAGGGCGTGTCGACTGGAGTATGCGTTGCACTCGGTTATGCACGTACACATAAAATCTTCGGGTCTGGTTGTATATGTACCCTAGCACAACTTTGCTGTCCGTATGGTACTCAATGTTGTCAAATGAAATGTCCATTTCTGCTACTATCAACTCTGCAACTTCAACTGCGAGCACTGCGGCACATAGCTCGAGTCTTGGAATCGTGAGGCCTGATTGAGGAGCCAACTTGGTCTTTCCAAACACAAATCCAGTTTCTGTAGTTTCTGACATTGAGACTTTGATATATGCAACGGCTGCAATGGCTTTTACAGACGCATCAGCAAATATGAAGAGTTCTCTTTTTTGGGCGTTAGTTGTGGAGAGCAAGGTGTAAGGACGCTTTATTTGCAGACTTTGCAGATCTTGGAGAGAGTCCTTCCACTTGCACCACTCTGCCTTTATGTCGTCTGGAAGAGGTGCGTCCCAGCCATCCGTCAAACTGGTTAGCTCTCTCAGTATTTGCTTGCCTTGGATTGTGATGGGGGCGAGGAACCCGAGGGGGTCGTAGAGACTATTGACTGTAGAGAGGACGCCTCTACGAGTGAAGGGCTTTTGATCCTCATCAACTTTGAATGTGAAAGTGTCAAGACCAACATTCCACAACAGTCCCAAACTCCGCTGGACAGGGAGATCTTGTGCACACAGATCCAAGTTTTTGACATCTTTAGCTCTGTCTTCTGGTGGAAAGGCTTTCAGAACAGCTTGGCGGTTTGAGGTGACTTTATGTAGCCTGAGATTTGAATAAGCGAGAGCCTGCTGTGCTTGTCTTAGAACATGAACTGCTTCTTGCTCAGTGGGGAATGACTTGAGGGCATCGTCGACATAGAAATCTCGCTCTATGAATCTGCGCACATTGGTCCCGAACTCTGCTTCACCAGTCGTTGCCGCTTTCTTGAGGCCGTATATAGCGACAGAGGGGGAGGGACTGTTCCCGAAGATGTGCACGCGCATGCGGTACTCAATTATTTCGCAGGACATGTTGTTATCTTTGTACCACAAAAAGCGGAGAAAGTCTCCGTGGCTCTCTTTAACAACAAAACAATGAAACATGTGTTCAATGTCAGCGGTTATGGCAACTTGTTCTTTTCTGAACCTCATGAGCACTCCGACGAGACTGTTGTTGAGGTCAGGGCCTGTGAGTAGCACGTCGTTAAGAGAGACTCCTTCATAGGGGGCGCTTGAGTCAAACACAACTCTGATCTTTGTGGGTTTCTTGGGATGGTAAACCCCAAACAAAGGTAGGTACCAGCATTCCTGATTGTGGACTAGAGATGGTGCGACCTCTGCATGACCTCTAGTGAGCATGTTCTCCATGAACTCCAGAAAATGTGCTTTCATTTCAGGCCGCTTTCTTAGAGAGCGTCTGAGTGACATGAGACGGTTATAGGCCAGCTGTCTGTTGTTGGGTAGACGTTGCCGTGGCGACCGAAAGGGCAGTGGACCAACCCAGCTGTTGTCACTGTCCTGGTAGAACTCAGAGTCCATTATTTGGAGGAACTGCATGTCCTCGACTGATTGTGCAAGTTTGTAATCATCAGGTGTGTGAGCGAAAACTTGCTGACCAATGCTGTCCACATTATATCCTGACGCTTGGAAGCTTCTGGGGCTGTGAGAGAGCTCAGGTGTTTCTGTGAATGTTTCTTTGACAGTTATCCGACTGTTACATGGTTGAAGCTGACTAGCGCGACCATTCTCCAGAACAAAGGTCTTGTAGCTGCTTACTTGTGTGGGTCTGTGTTTGCCATCTAGGCAGACCTCACCAACCACGACCCAACCCAGATCCAGTTTTTGAGCAAATGGGGAGTCACCTGGGCCGTTTACTTGCTCTCTGACTTTATGAACTCTCAATACATCTCTGCCCAGCAGTAGAAGTATGTCAGCGTCAGAGTCCAATGGTGGGATCTTGTCCGCGATCCGTTGCAGATGAGCGTGGTGGGATGCAGCTTGTGGGGTAGGTATCTCTGAGCGGTTGTTGGGAATGTCATTACATTCGAGGAGTGTTGGTAAAGGAAGGCTTAACTGTTCATTTATTGACTCCACCATGAAGCCACCAGCTCTTCTTCCTGAAACTCCTGTGAGTCCTGCACACGTCTTCAATGTGTAGGGATAACTTGCTCCTTGGATCTGAAACAACTCGAAGAACTGTGAACGTGCAAGAGAACGGTTGCTCTGTTCGTCCAAGATTGCGTACATTCTCTTTGTTTGTTCTTTGTGACCAGCAGGATACACATTGACAAGTATGATTTTGGAACATTCTCTGGCACTCACCCCTTCTCCGTACACCTCAGTACACCGAGAGGTGACTTCTTGGACATCCGCTTTGCTGCTCTCCCCGCCGTGCTGTAAGGGGGGCTGCGTTTTAGATTCCTGCGGTGCTGGACCTGGATGGAGGGCAGAAATGTGATTGTTGCTGTCACACTCCGTGCAAGTGATGTATGTTGTACAGTTCTTGGCGAGATGATCTGTAGATGAGCAACAGCGAAAACAGATGTTAAACTTTTTGATTATCTGTTTTCGTTCTTCCAAAGGCTTCTCTCTGAATCCTCTGCAGTGTTTTAAAGGGTGGGGCTTGTTGTGTATTGGACACTGTTTGTTGGGCTTTACTGTACTTGTGATTTTTTCTTTATTTTCTGCTTTGTCTTGTATTTGAGTTTTGTGGACAGATATGGGCACTTTGGAAAACCTTTCTGGCATTTGTTTTCTCTCAGGTAACTGGTTTGAGCTGTGTAGAGTGAAGCTCGGGTCAGTTCGTGTTTTGGCCTCAGCGCGAATGAAGTTAGCAAACACAGTGAAAGGCGGAAAACTGACGCCGTGATCACGTTTATACTTTGAGCCGTATGTCATCCACTTCTCTTGCAGATTGTAAGGTAACTTGTTAACTATTGGTTGAATTCCTCTAGATGTGTCCAAGTAAGACAAGCCTGGTAAATATCCATCAAGCTTAGCTGCTTCCAGCTCCAACATTAGGTCAGCTAAGTCTCTGAGTTTGAAAGGCTCTCTGGGGGTGATTTTGGGAAAGTTCTCTACCTTTTGAAAGAGTGCTTGCTCTATAGCTTCTGGAGAGCCATAGACTTCTTCGAGCCTTTCCCAAGCCATGGCTAAACCAGCTTCAGGACGTCTGATGTTGACAGCCTTCATTTGTTTGACTTGCCTCGATGAGTTCTCACCGAGATAACGAACAAGTAGATCTAGTTCCTCTCCTGCAGAAAGGTCCAAACCTGTTATAGCGGTCTTGAAAGATGATTTCCATGCCCAGTAGTTCATGGGTTGGTCGTCGAAGCTTGTAAGGCCTGTAGTGACGAGCTGGCTGCGGGCTAGATACCTGGCCAGATCATAAGTTGGCTGGGTCTCGACATGGCTATTGTGTGCATGGTTCACTTTGGGTAACACTGGGGCAAGAGGAGCAAACTGCTTGAAATTGGTAGACTGGGGTTCACAAATTTCACTTTCAGGAGCTGCGTAGTTTATTTCTTGCTTTACAACCAAGGTTTGCAACGGGAGTTCTGGATTATTTATTTCAATTTGAAAAGGCACAGGTGACTCTGCTGCAGTGAGATTTGCTTGATCTAAAACATACTGGGCTGTGCGTGTTGCTTTCTTTTCTGTAAGACATGACCCGTATGTTACACTGCGTGTTTCAAAGCCCAATTGTAGTAGTCCTGCATCCAACGAATTTGCTTCTGCAGCTGCAGCTTCTTGTTCTTGCTCTGCTCTAAGTGCATCAAGGGTTGCCTGTAGACGTACCTGTTCCACTTTGATTTCTATTTCTTTCTTTGCATATGTAGCTCTTGCTTGAGCAGCTTCGGCCTTTGCTTTAGCTCTTAGTAACTCAATGCCAGCTGTAGAACTTGCCTTTGATGACTTTAGAGAGAGTACTGACTTACTTTGAGTCTTTTGGGATTTGGTTTCAGACATTTTGTGGTTTATGATGCCTGAATGCACTTTACTTAGCTCTTTGGGCTGACTGGAGCTCCACGTGGTAGGTTCTGTAGCTTTGTTGCTTGCCGTGGTGCTGTCTTTTCACTGTTAATGGCCTCGCTAGATACTCGCACTAGCTATCCAAACAGCTAAACAATCTTGAACATGAAGAAACTCCGGACAGCGATGACTGGTTAATGAAGTTTACTTCAGTGCTAGTTCCTTTTTGTGAAACTGTAACATACAGAAAATGCAATGTATTACAATCTAGGCTTTACAGAATGATATAAATAAAATAAAGGACCAACATGACATTGACTTTCAATGAAATGAGGATGTTAGCTAGCGATTAGCAACAAAAAGCTTTAAAGAATGATATAAATAAAATAAAGGACCAACATGGCATTGTCTTTCAATGAAATGAGGATGTTAGCTAGCGATTAGCAACAAAAGCTTTACAGAATGATATCAATAAAATAAAGGACCAACATGGCATTGACTTTCAATGAAATGAGGATGCTAGCTAGCAATTAGCAACAAAAATTAGCTTACAAAAAACGGACTCATTAGCATAATAATAACTGGCTATAAACATACAACTTTACACAATACCAACATATCATGTGACATTACAGGTGTCTCGGTGTTTTTTTACCAAGTAATACTCACAGACAATGCTTTAACAAACACCAAGAAAGAACCAGAAAGAGTGTGGAGCTGCCGTTTGATTCTGGGTATCGGCACTTCCTGTCCATATTCTTCTTCTACTATTAACTTAAACAATAACTTAAAGTTGTCACCTGGTGGCGTATTTCAACTAATAGTAACACCAACAATATTATACACAATAAACATAACAGGTCTCCTTTCTCCCCTTTTGCCAATTGTTGCTACGGTAATGTTGGATGTGTTTCTGGCAATTTACATAAAAAACTTTTATCTACAGAATAGTAACAGGACTTTACCAATGCGTCGCTCTCAGCACAGGAAAAACCCATAGATGGATTTTTTTTGCTAGATTTAATGGAAAATGAACCACGTACTTGACTGCACATCTTGAATAATCAGATATATTAGCCAAAAGCAGCAGAAATTGTTCACCGGAGAGTTTCTTCAACAGCTTGACATGTTTCGTGAACTACAAAATTGCAAAAACAGAGGGTGTCATGTGGAGTTTTTGCATCATATCTGTAGTTAATGGATTTATTCTAATCTGATGGTGACCATGTTTCTCCAGTCTTCTCTAATGGCTTTTTATCAGACCAATACACCATGTATGTGTTGTATCTCACTGGCTGGCTTGGCTACAATTTAATCAGAGTGTTGTTCCTAATATGACCTTTGATTGTGGATGAGAAGAACCCATGGTAAGGAGTGAGACAACATGTGTTCCTATTTTCTGTAAATAATGTTTCAATTAAGCATCTTGATGGTAAATGAAACACCAATAATTTTGCTCTACTGCAGTAATGCCCAACCAGGATCCTGGTAACCCTTGTGCTCCTCGAGTGCATTCCAAGGGGTACATGGAAATATCTAATTTCTTAGGTAGTAAAATAAAATAGTGCTGGGATCTGATTCGCTTTGTGAGGACCCAATAGAAAAAATTAACGAGCTTTCATCAACAGAAAAGTAAGTTTTTCTGATATGTTTGAGTTCAGCTTCAGCTTTGACACGCATCCAAACCAAGCAGAGAAACAGACTGGATGTAGAGAACAGCCTGGAATCAGCTGTTTTTCCCACTGAGCTATCAGAGGTCATCAAAGCAGCTCAGGTATCTTGATATAAACAAAGTAAAACTAGTTAAATCAGTCAGACTATAATTTTTGTTCTGTATTTTGTTCCCAATTCCTCAAGTTTAAATGTGATTATAATGGAGTTACTCAGAGGAGATCCCATTTTACAAACACAAGTTTATAATATGATTTTATTTTGTATTTATTTTAATTCCTTACTAACTTCCAGGAAACATATTCATGTTTTTCTTTATTTGAGATGGAAAGAATGCAATGCCTAACAATAAAATACTCAAATTGAAAGATTAAGTAAAATATTTTTAATTTTATAATCATTTTATAATCAAAGTATTTTTTTTTATAATCAAAGTATATTTTCCACTTTTGGACAATCTTCAATACTTTTGACTGAGAGGGGAACTCATAGTAAGACAAAATTCCCAAAGGGGAACCCAAGTAAAAAAGGAAGGCAAACACTGCTATACTGCATTAAAAACACGATAATCTTATGCTGTGGGTGAGTCAACATGAAACTTTGAAATTCCTTCCACATAATACAAAGTGGGTAATGGGCTCTCCTACTTTCAGTTTAATTTCCACAGAACAATTACTGCTTTAAATAGACTACCGTAGTAAATTGGAAAACATATTTATCTTTAGTTTGGGTTGAAAGAAAGAAGTGATTTAATTATTAATTTATTATACCAATATATTTAGTCATAATGGAACAGAGTACTAGCCTCTTTTACTTTGGCTCTTATTAGCTGTGCTTGAATGTTATGTAATGTCTTTTATAATCCACTGCATGTATGCAGCTCCAAACATATATATGCAGATCATAAGTCAGAAACAATTTTAAATATGAACCTAACTTCGTAGCAAATGCGCAAAATCTGAGCTACAACAAATCTCAGCCTTCTGTAAGCTGATTTATTTAAGATGTAAAATAACGTATATTTATCTGCCGCATGAGATGAGGTTTATGTCATGATCGGTTTAACAAATCGGACCCACATGCAGAGAAAAACACTCAAAGAGCACGGAAAAAGTTTAACAGGTTTATTGAAGGAGTAAACAGGAGTTGGATCTGGAATTCAGTGAGCTGGTGACCCGTAACTGGAAATAAGAAGGGAAGTTCAGTGGTCAGTTCGGGAACCATGGGAATCTTGGAAGCTCTGAGTTTTTGCAAGGATGGGAACTCACGTTTGAGGGGTCCTTGTTAGTCCTTGAATCCAGACTGTGTGGTAAATCCAGAGAAAGGTGCACACGTTGGAGGGTGGACAGGTTTGACAAGCGTTGGACCCGGAGGAGTAATGGAGCGGACTGTCACTCGGATTTCCGATGGGTACTTGAACGGAAAATATGGAGGTTTTCCCCTGTTAGTGTAACAGGCTTGAGTTGGGAGACATGAAATGTGGGGTGGATCCTGAGAGTGGAGGGAAGGCGAAGGTGGACAGCAGAAGGAGAGATGAACTCGTATGGACCGATTAACCACGGGGGGAGTTTTTGGACATTCCCTTAAGTGGAATGTCCCTAGTAGAAAGCCATACCTTCTGGCTGGGGGTGAAAGTAGGAGCGACCCTCCTACTACGGTCAGCCCACCTGTGGTTTTGTTCAGCAGTGCATCCAAGTGCCGCTGCAGTCTGGCTCCAGACTGCCTTGCAGCGGCGAATGTGGTGCTGAACAGACGGAATGGCTTAATCAGCCTCCTCAGCCGGAAAAAGGGGAGGTTGATAGCCTAGGGAGGACTTGAAGGTGGATAGACCTGTGGCAGATGAAATGTGAGTGTTATGGCCATACTCAACCCAGGGAAGGAACTGGCTCCAATTGGTGGGATTCGCTGTGGTCAGACATCTGAGGGTGGCCTCCAACTCCTGGTTCATGCGCTCAAATTGTCCATTAGACTGAGGATGATAGCCAGAAGTGAGGGAGACCTTGGCCCCGAGGGCCGAACAAAAACTCTTCCAAACCTGAAAAATGAACTGGGGGCCACGGTCGGAGAGCATATCCTGGGGTATCCCATGAAGGAGGAAAATGTGCTTGACCAGGAGTAGGGCCGTCTGAAGAGCTGTGGGTAGTTTTCTCAGAGAAACCATATGGCAGGCCTTAGAAAAATGGTTGATGATAGTGAGTATGGTGGTCATACCTTTAGAGGTGGGAAGTCCAGTGATGAAATCCATGGCTATGTGTGACCAGGGTCTGTTGTGAAATGGGCAGAGGCTATAGAAATCCAGCTGGGGGCTGATGAGAGGACTTGTTCCGAGAGCAGGTTGGGCAGGCTAGGACGAAACTCCTTTATGTCCCCTAGTAAGGAGGGCCACCAAAAACAACGACTGATGAGTGCAACAGTCCGGCTGATACCTGGATGAGGAAAGAATTTTGAGGTATGTAGCCAGTTGATAACTCTTGCACAAATCGAAAAGGGGACAAAAATCCTGTTGGGGGGACCAGTCCTAGGATCTGGCTTAGTCCGCTGAGCCTGTTTTACTAGGTCCTCAATCTCCCATGTGACAGCGGCGACGGTGCAGCTAGGAGGGAGAATAGGAGCAAGAGACTTCTCAGAATCATCAGGGGTGAACTGTCTGGAAAGAGCATCTGGCTTAACATTTCGTAACCCAGGACGGTAGGAAATAGTGAGGTTAAAACGGGAGAAGAAAAGGGACCAGCGAGATTGACGGTTTAATCTTTTGGCCGACTAAATATAGGAGATGTTCTTGTGATCAGTCCATACCACAACTTGGTGGACTGCTCCCTCTAGCCAGTGTCTCCATTCTTCAAGGGCCAGTTTAATGGCTAGCAGCTCTCGGTCCCCAACTTCGTAATTCCTCTCTGCGGGAGACAGTCTGCAGGAAAAGAAGGCACAAGGGTGTATCTTATGGTCAGAATCAGATAACTGGGAGAGGATGGCCCCAGCACCAGAATCTGAGGCGTCAAACTCCAAAATGAACTCTTTGGTTGGGTCAGGCTGGATAAGTACAGGTGTATTAGAAAAAAGACCCTTCAGACGGTAAAAAGTCATGTCAGCCTCAGATGACCAGATAAAGGGGGTCTTGGTAGACATGAGAGACGTTAGTGGAAGGGCCGTTTGGCTGTAGTTCCGGATAAAACGACGATAGAAGTTGGCAAAACCTAGAAACCTCTGTAGTTGCTTCCTAGGTTCAGGAACGGGCCAGTCCTCTAATTTTCCCCTCAGTGGTTCTTACCTGTCCGCCCTCAAGGATGAAGCCCAGGAAGGAGACAGATGACTTGTGGAACACACATTTCTCTGCTTTGACAAAGAGCTTGTTCTCCAGAAGGCGCTGAAGTACTTAGCGGACGCAGATTCTGTGTTCAGACAGATCCTTGGAAAAAATGAGTAAGTCATCATTGTAAACAAAAACAAAGATATTCAAAAAGTGTCTCAGGACGTCATTGACCAGTGCCTGAAAAAAGGCAGGGGCGTTAGTCAGACCAAAAGGCATAACCAGATACTCAAAATGACCAATAGGAGTCTTAAAGGCTGTCTTCCATTCATCTCCCTCTTTTATGCGGAGGAGATGATAGGCGTTCCTTAGATCCAACTTGGTGAACACAGTGGCTCCATGGACGGGCTCAAAGGCGGAGGATAAGAGTCGGTAATGGGTATTTATTTTTAAGAGTAATTTGGTTCAGGCATTGGTAATCAATACAGGGTCTCATGGAACCATCCTTCTTACCCACCAAGAAAAACCCAGCTCCAAGTGATGATGAAGAAGGTCGAGTGATTCCAGCAGCCAGGGAGTCCTGAATGTACATCTCCATAGTCTGTCTCTCTCAGGTTGGGAGATATTGAATTGGCAACTGCTGGGCAGAGGGGCTCCAGGTAGCAGATCAATGGCGCAATCATAGGGTCTGTGAGGAGGCAGAGAACAGGCCTTAGACTTGCTAAATACCTGATAAAGGTCATGGAAATCAGCCGGAACCAAGGAAAGATCCTGGGGGTCAGCCTCATTTCCCTCAAACCGGTTGGAAGCCTGGTGGAACTGCAGATCGGAAACCGCAAGAGTGGCAGTTAACAGACCATGAATCAACTTGTC